AAACAAAAAAACCATCCACTTCCCAGCCTTTAATACCACAAAAGAAACTGGTTATCCTGCCGACTACGCCAAAATGTTACCGAGGAGTAACCGTTCCTTCCAACAAGGGAGATAAAAAAAACTAACTTCAATGTACTCACAAAAAAAGGGATTTATTGATAAATAAACAATACATATCAAATCAAAGAAAAGGTACATTGTAGAACAGAAAACTCATTCCCCCTACACGGATGTTACCAACCAGCCAACCCCCTACAAACCCCAATACAATCCCAACTTGGTCACACAGGACAATTCAAAATAAAACAAAATACATTACACAAACAACCCCAAAATCATATTAAATAAAAGTACCGCACACTCAAAACAAACCAAAAAACAATGACACTACAACCTTAAGTCTCATGCAAATAAATAGTTTATGTGTTTTAAAGCGTCAATATAGTACAGAGAGTACAAGGGTTGGCTAGCAACACGAGGCTGGGAAGTGATATACAAACAAGGAACAAGAAAAAAAGAAAACACCCCGTTAGCCAGTACGATTCACAACATCTATACACTCATTGCGCTGGAGGCATACAGCGCACATGCAGGTACTGGCTAAACGGGGAAATCAAAACAAAAAACAAACACACGAGGAACAGCGATCAACTAAACCTAATACAAAAATACAAAAACACAATTAACAATACACAAAAATAACCACAAAACGTATTTTGTTTACTTTAATCTCATTAGAAAAATAAAATCAAGACACTTACAAGCACTGTATAAAAAAACCTCACATTACCTGCGACACAGCCCCAAACCCTGGACTAACTTCCAAGATAGGAACGGGCGTGACCAAATGACCTACAAATACACAATGTTTGCGTCTGCATTAAAAACAATTCCCTAATTAATAAAACAAGGCGTCCTAAATAGGAAACAAAACAATCACTATTTATTTAGCCTACCTGCTCATCAGACCGATCACGCACAAACCAACATGAACGTCACAGGACAGCACGATGTTTGTGTCTGCACTTAAAACATAATTCAGTAAAAAACAAGCTTTGTAAACCTAACACAACACAATAAATATTTGCTTGGCCTACCTGCTCAACCAGACCGCGTCTGTGCACCAACACACAAAGAAGTGCTACCAAACAGCACAACTCCAAAAAAGATTGGACCTCCTCTCTAGGCCTCCCTACAGGTGCCTGCTTAAAAACCCTACCTGGCCACACCCTCTACTAATTGCCACCTCACCGGCTACATTTATAACGTTATTATTATTATAAAAAGTCTAAAATGCAATTTTATACAAATCAGTTTTTAATTTTAATCCTTTAAATAGTAGGTTCCCTGTACAGTTTAAGTTGCCTATTTTTATACGTTTCTTTCCTAGAGAAAAAATAACATTTATGTATAGCCTAGGCCTATCCAAATTGAATCGCAAGCTTATGAATCATTATTCCCCCACAGGAACAATTTTCACTCCAAGCTGTACTCAAAAGTTGGCACGTCCCTGAGGCGCAATTTTTTCTTCATATAGGCTTGGGTGAATTCAGGTTGATTTGGGCTCGTTTTCCAAGTCATCTCAAAGGCAAAAAGTGTCCCACTCACCCTGAATTCACCCTAGTGTTGACAAGGCAACTAGTAAATAGGCCTATACCTAAAATTGTAATGCTTAGCATGTGTGGAAACTTTTAAACCATGTGTGTTACAACTAGCCTCGCTCACCCCAGTCCAGCCTCAAAGTTGTTAGCTTTCACCTTATGCTAATTTTATAGGGCTGCTAACAGCTTTAGCCTCGCGACACACTCTCTTACAGCTGAGCTACAGCAGGAAGTCTTCCTGCTTTATTACTTCCCTTTTGGCTCAGCGATGCAGGAAGGCCAGCAAGTATGTGCACACGAGAAAGAGAGTGACAGAGACACAGTACTAGTCTTGGTTATCATAAGCTAATTCAGCATTTACGTTGTTTTTTATTTTTACAGTCCTCTGTTTAATCTTCTTTCCTCGCAGATTTAAATCTGACACAGTTGTAGTCAGTAATGCGTTTAATCCATGAGCCTCATTGATTGCCCAGTCGTTTGAGTGGATGGTCCAACCAAAGTTCAGCAGACGCGGGTCGATGGGGAACAGTAGTTTTGCTGTGCGTACTCATCGCCCACAGCATGGAGGGTAATTATGTTTTTAATGCATTTTAATACCCCGTCATTACCGCTAAACAGAAACAGCTTTCTTCCTGACCAGTTTCTTTCACTCCACGTATTCCATCTCTCTACCTGCTAATGGCCATATTTAGCATATCAACATGTTTATGTGCTAAAAGCTGTTTAGACAGTTAAACTGAGGAAGCTCAGATGAGATTTAGGGGGTTCTTTCTGAATGGCTAAGACTGAAGCTATCAGAAATTGGCTTCACATCTGAACAAAAAGGCTCCCTGTACCCTAAGACTAGCTGTGCTGTGTGAATAGCCGAGCGGTGCGAGAGCGGGAGGGGTCGCGTCACTACGGGGCCTCTAGATTTTATTTTCCCCAAGAGCTGCCTGAGATCCCACAGACACATGCTACAGAATTCCCCCGCAGAAAGAGGGAGGGACGGAGGGAGGGAAAAACAAGACGACTTGGGTGAGAATGCAACGTGTTCACACACTCTCAGGCATTTTTGTCTTTTAGCTTATACTTGTCGTGAAACTGGGAAAATGCAGTCGTCAACATTTGAAGTCGATCAAAAAAGTGCATCAAAGTTGTCCTAAGGCAAGAACGGGTATTGTTCAAAATTCATGTATAACTTGGATGAAAGGTTTTGATCCACTTCAAATGTTGACTACTGTAATTCAAATATCAAACTTTTTCATACAGTAAAGCTTTAGATTCTCACGGTAAACTTCTTAAGGAATGGAATGTTCCCATGTCAAAGCATTTTAGGGGGAAGTGTGGTAATCCATTGTACAATGTATGTGGTCATGATTGACAGAAAACCCCTCAGTTTTTTTCTTTGTCCTGGCCTCATGCTGGGCAGTTCATATGGGGCGTAGACAAGGGGATTTTTTTTTACTTAGGCCCCTCTAATGGGAAAAGGTTAGGGGTCGTTCTTACAAATGTGGCTGTTACGGCTTTGATGCAGAAGCAAAACTCGAACCCTCATTAATGATGTTTTTTGATTAGTCAGAAATTATTTGTTCAACATGTTGATTCATTCAACATGGAGTAATACATTTTATTTTATTGCATGCTAAATACTTCAGAGTGATGATTGTGTGTTCACACATTGCATGCTTGCTCAAATACATTTTTCTTTTTTGGCAGTTCTGTCCTTATTAAAGAAGAAAACAACTCCACCATAAACTCCAAGAACCCCGTGAGATCCTTCTGACAGCGCACACATCCCATCTGGTGGCCATCTGAGGCACACGCACTGAAAACATATTGTTGGATCAACCTTCCTAACATATTGTGGACAGAATTTGATTAGTGACTGGGTCAATCTTATTTCAGAAATACATTTTCGTGGAGGGGAGGGGAACGTGATTTCACAAAGTACAACATGATCTTGGATCAACATCTTTGTTGATCCTGGAACAACATTCCAATCAACCAATCAGATTTGAGGGACACGTTTACAGTTTATGTCAAGTTTAGGCTTACAAACAGGGTTGGGTGCTTCTACATCAGTGTTATTCACCTATTATTCCCCTCTGGTTTAAGGGATAAGTTATGGGTAAGGTTAGGTCTAGGGGTAGGACAACATTTTCAGACAGGAATGTTGTTCCAGGATCAACAAAGTTTGTTGATCCAGGAACATGTCTGACTTGGCAAAATCATGGAAGAGATTTTTTTTAAACAGTTTCCATTCATCTCAATATCACAACTAAGTGAACAGGAATGACATTTTAAATATTTTCACTGTTAAATGTTGCATTTTTTGCCAAGTGTTAATTAATTTTTCTTCTCTCTATACTCTAAACATTTTAAACAAAACATGTTCACTTGGAAACATTGTTACCCATGTCCTTAATTTCACTTTTAAAATAAATAGAAAGATCACTCATTGATGACATCTTAATGGCATCATACTGCAATCATACTGCAGGAAGTGATATTATTTTGATATAAAAACAACCACACAAACCCGAGTTACAGTTTAGCAATGGATTTGATGGATTCTGTTTTGTGTTTTATAGATCACACAATTAACCAAGCAGGCATCGTCATGTAACCTCGCAATTGCTCACTGGATATTAGCTAAAGGTCCTTATTTCTTGCCACTTTATAAGTTGAATAAAGGTTAAGTTGATTTTAACCAGAATATATTTCTGAAAGTCTGGTATTCAATTTCATAAAAAATACTTCCTCAAAGTACATCACAAGCATATTCATTATCTTATAAGTTCCAGAGATTAAAAGTTACTGCACAAGAGGAATGACCCGGCTAGAGCAGATTTGTTTTGTTTTTTACCAATGCAGAAATAAACAATTATTTTCAATGCGTGATTAAGTTTCAGCTCTGCATTTTCCCTGAACAACTAAAATCATAGTTTTTCAGTAGCACTCATAAAAGGCAACTTGGAAATTCCCAGCAAACTAAGCCTAGATCCATGGGGAATTTGGGAACTAAACTATTAAGAAATTGAATGCATGTTCACGCATGTACAGTATGAGCCCATAAGTAAACTAATTACACTATGTTCATCAACAAGAAAACTTCTTAAACTCACATTTTTAGGCTATTACTGTATTAAGACTCAGTTCGATATAAGACATCTTAATCTCAATATATTGCTATGCTTGGAAAAGAACATGGGCGAAATATTAACCAAAAATTATATTAACAAATGCTGTTTATCAAAGGGAAGTAAAGAGAAAACTACATGAAACTCAGAACTCACAAATTTAATGGCAAATTTGATGACAGATCTGGCGCCATCTACCTACAGAAAAGAGAAACACTGCAGTCTGTTGGCGTTGATGACGGCCGCCATTGAAGTAAATACAGATGAAATCTGCAAGAGGCAGATCTCATCCTGAGGTAATTGTGACCAACAAAGTGGTATTGGGTATCAATGTTCCCTCATAAAATGGATCAGTACCCTCTGCTGTAGATGTAGTATGATCCAGCTGTGGCTCAGACGAATAGACAGTTGGTTGAGGTAGAGTATAGTCTTCTGTAAATGAACGCTGAGATCGTGTGGTGATGTCTATAGGAACCTGAGATCGTGTGGTGATGTCTATAGGAAGCTGAGATCGTGTGGTGATGTCCATAGCAGCTGTTGTCATAAGCTCAGGTCCACTTAAATCCAAATCACTTTCATCAGTTTCATTTTGTAAGGCCAAGGTCATATAGGAATTGCCTATTGTTGTGCCAAAAAGCAGCTCTTTAAAGATTTCCTCCATCAATTGGGTTGAATTGGAGGCGTTTTGATCACTTACGAGATCCACTTCTTCCTTTGCCTTGCTGACGGCAGAACGTGGTTTTGTGAAGAAGGCGCTACCTGCTATATCTGAAAACCGAACTGGTTTATAATTGTTAAGTCCTGTTTTTGTTGAAGACATGTTGAGGTTTGATTTGGTTGAGACTTTATTAAACGGATTGACGTACCTTCCGACAACAAAGCTGCTTGTGGGACTCGATGCCTGGGACACACCGACAGCACTGAGGTCGATATCCATTTTTGAGATTGGAGTGGTTTCATTCGTCCAGACTGAAGTTAAATTAGCTTGTTTGATGTTAGCTTTACTGCGATGTTTGTTAGCAGGTCTGTATATAGTCGAAGGGCTGTCGGTTTTATGACTACTAACGTCAGCAGCTCTATATATTACAGATTGAGAGGATGGGATTGCATGGATATTCTTGTTTGAATTTTCTCCAGATCTCTTTCCTTCTTGAGTCACTTCAACCTGCCTACCAGTCACAACGCTACTCGTTGGTCTCAATAATTCACTAATATTTGTTTGTGCTACTCCAACTGAGTTTCTGTCCTTCGTAACTTCCCTTGTTGGATTTACCAGACCTTCATGTTCCTTGAAGTTATACCTGTGAAGTGGCTGGATAACAACATTGCCCATTTGAGGAGATCCAGTCATTTTGTTCATAAGAGAAGACTTGAGGATCGGAAGAACAGGCTCTGATGTGGGATCCCAATGACTGTTGCTAGATTTCATGGACGCTGAGTACGTGTTGGGTCCATCAAACCTGCCGTTTGAGGATCTCACTGTTGGTATTTCACCTTGGTTAGATTCAGCCTGAGCTTGAGTGTTCTGTGCTGAGGTAAACCTGCTTGAAATCCAATTCTGAGATGTTTTTGACTGGACTTCATCCAATTTTGATCCATCATACGCTATTTTAGGATGTTCCATTATTGTGCCAAGACCCGCTGAAGTATTTGTGCCGATTACTTTCTTCACTAAAGCTTGACCTCTAACAGCATGGTGCTTTGGAGCGTCAGACTTGGCGTTACTTGCAGCTTCAGTCGAAGAGACAGTTTTACGCTGAGGTCCATTATCAAAAGAATCAGGTTGTTTTTCTTGGCTTGCTTCAATGTCCTTGATCTGGAAAAGTGATTTTTCATAGCTATTAGGCGTCAAGGGTTTTTGAGCAAGTGCATTTAGGGCGTTACGAGGATGAGCAGGGGCATGTTGCACATTAGATAAAGAGTTTATGAAAGACTTTTGGACAGAGTGCATTTCTGTTTTTTGTAGAGGTGTATGCAACGTAGGGGTAAACATGAAACCTCTAAAAGCAAATGGCTTTTTAGAAGTCAGATAATATGGTCGGGTTCGGCTACTAGACATACCTGAATATGCAGATGTGCCTTGAGGACCAGACACAAATGGACTAACGCTGTGGACGTTCTTCATTGTGTAACCCGGCGTGAGACTTAGCACTGGATAATTTTTAGTGACTAATGATTGTACTGTACTTTGGGCGGAGGAATTAAGATCTGTCCGGTTTCGCGCATTATGCTGACTTGGCTTCTTTAATGAATTATATGTTGAGTCTGGTAGATTCAAATGTACATCATGTTCTGAAAACAATGTGTTCTTTGCAAAGTGCATTCGTGGGGTCAAATGTGTGCCCTGTTTTGACTGGTTGGATAGCTCAGACATCGGTCTTCGGATGCCACTGTTTACATCTAATAAGGACTCTTTGTACGAGCGGACACCATTGGTCCCTGAAGGCCTGATGGCAGACATGCCTGTTGCCAAATTATCATACTTCTTTTGGCTGTGAAACATTTGAATGGGCGTAGAACTCGGACTACTATGTCCCCGATTTTGGTACCCATTTTGTGTCTGTGTCAATTGAATGTCCTTGAAAGTGTATCCGCTCATGGCCGATTTTGTATTTCCATACTCAAAGCTACTTGGCGGATTTTCTTTTGGGCTGGCGACCCTTTCAGAGTTAGACTGCTTGACCTGATCATGTTGAGAAGAAAACATGTGAGCCTTTATTAAGGGAAGGATGCTTTGACCTCTATTTGAATTTGACATCTTAATCACAGGAGTCATTGGGGTTTGAACGGCTGGAGGTTTGAACACCTTGGAAAGAGATACATCCCTCATATTCTCATAGGAATTGGCTTCGGCCCCAGCATAAAAGTCACGTGGCAATGATTTGCTCGCTTGCTGATTTGCTCTTACAATTGAGAGAGACGGACTTGATGGTACAAATTTTCTCAGGACTTTTTGATTCTGGCCATTGTGTTGAAGCAAGTTATCAAACAGAACATTTCCATCACTTCTGTGCCTCATGTCGTGCTTCACAGTTGAGCTTCCAGACCTATAATTAGCTGGAATGCTTTTAGCATGTGCTGGTCTGATGATCGGCTGGCCAGAAATATTTCCCCTCAAATAGGGTTCATTGAGTCCTAATGGTCTCGAACTGCCTGAATACATTTCTGATTTAGATTTTGAAATATGCTGATAGTCAAATGGCCCAGATCTATAATCATTTGCTGCATGCACTTCATTTCTCAGACCTTTCCTCATCAGCCATGGGGCCGGATTAATATCACTAGAGCTCTTTTGGTTCCCGGTGAAGTATAAAGGATTTTGTTCCGGTTGGACTGTTTGGAAAGCATAGCTTCTTTTGGCATCAATTCCATCATCATATTTGACGCTTGACAATTCAACAGGATTAGGTCTACTATTGACATTGGATGAGGTATTTGGGACTGAACGGTAATAGATAACATCTGCAGAGGCTCTTGCCTCGGTGGGACTGAAGCTTGGATTTTTGGCATTGCCATCATTTCTCTGGCTGTATAGAGAGGAAGTGATCCTCGGCAGCGGATATTGGTTGGTAAATTGTTCTACGTTCCTTTGAAGAGTGCGTCTTACTGAATTTTGGATGGCTGGATTAACACTTCTGAAATTTTCCAACGCCTGTTTTTTGATCTTTGGATCATTTTCCGTGATGTCTCCTAAAGACATAATATACTTAAGTTAATTCTAATTAGATATGGCAGCAAATTTAAAGCCAGCTTATTATGGAGCTTATCATGACAAAATGATTTGAATTGTGTAAATTTGAATTATTGACAAGTGTAATCTAACAAAATTGAATATTATGTGGAAGTTCTGAATTTGATTTCTTTAAACGAATATTTGAAATTTAACGAATTGAAATGTTTTATGGCTAAATTTTATAGACTGCAAATATCCCGTTTAAAAAAAAATACAGATTCAAGTTTAAGATGAAGAAGAAATTCGGAACTTCAAATTCAGTTTTCTAAAATTCAAAACGTGGAAAATTCAGATCATACAGAAAGTAGGTCATAGGTCATCCACAGGGAAGAGTAAAGGATCTCAGAAAAGTCGAACAGAGTATTTTGGCTGCACTGCAGACAGTAGTTTTCTGGTGCAAATGTGGTGGTGGTTAAAGAGAATCCGTGTATCGTTCGTTCAGTCGTTTTTTTATTTAATATTAAGAGTAGAAAAATTAGAACACAGCTTAAATATTAGATTTCTAATAATAGTCCTTAAAATACCTCACAATATTACATTTTGTTAGATTACACTAAGTTGTCAATAATTCACATTTACACAATTCAAATCATTTTGTCATATTATAAGCTTCATAGCTTATTTCAAAGTTTTCTGAAAAACACTTAAAACCGTTCTAAATATTTACAGACTCAAATTATTCTTGGAACTAAATCTTACCTACTGACAGTTCAGGAAAACATCCCACAACAGAGAGAATCAAACAAACCAATGGCAGTCTATAGAAAAAAATGTATTATCCATTACAATAATGGACAAATGGGTTTATAAACTGTTGCAATTAAGCACTGAACACTTACCTCAGATAGTATTGAAGAGACATGCTTCGAGGACTAATGAACTTGTGCTTATGTGCCACACAAAGCTTTTTTTATCACACCTGCTCAAAATTACCCTACTGATGTGGGCTCACTGAAACACTATTGATCAGTATCGTGCTGATCACTGATGAGGCTCACCTGAATGCATTTAAAGCTAAACACACACACATTTGCAAACGCACACTCACATATCTTTATGGGTTCTAAAAATATTATGAAAATGTGGGACTCTGGGGCTTTCTGAAAACAAAACAAACAGTGTGCTAAACTTGTCATAAATATTATAAAAAGTTTTATTTGGTACACATGTACAGTAAATCATATACAGTAAAACAAATGTAAAATACTTAAAATAAATATATAAAAATAATTAGTGATCTTGAAACTTGTACAGTACAGACATAATTGAGGCTCTATTTGATACAAATGTAACACTGAAAAACTCCTTATAATTATACTAATTAAAAGGATACAACAAATACAGGAAACATTTAGCAATTCTTCCATACAAATAAATGACCATTAAAAAAAGGAGTAGGGCTAACCTTCCCTTTTCTTTCCATCATTTCGTAACAGCAAACAACAGCACCAAAGAAATGGTCTAAAATGAATAATCTATTGGCAATGTGGTTCATTTCAGCAGAAGGGGGGGAAAAAAAAGCTTTTTTTAACATGTTTTGTTATGTTTATGGGTTGCTTTGGGACAACCGTACATTTCTGTTATGGCAACAAGGCACACCCAACAGCAAACAGTCCCACGGGCACTGACATTCCACCTCTTCAGCCGAAACACAAACAAAAACAATCACACATTCATATATTCCCATTGCAGGTGTCAGTCATAAGCACGAAGCAGGGTAGCTTACTGACACCAACAGACACTAAAGGGTCCACATCCACCCCAATTATTCAGATTAGCAGTAAACCAGTGTGTTTTTCAACAGTTGATTCTTCAATGATTACACCTGGTCCATTAAATCGTGCATGTGTGGTTTCATCATTTGGATTGAGGAATGTGTGAGAACACAGTTGAGACGATCAACAACTTCGATTTCACATGTAGCAGGACATCATTGCCAGGTCCCTCAGGTCTTCATTAGTCAAACAATCTGAAAACACAAATGACAATTAGTATTTAGGTACTCAATTAATGTATTAAACGCAGATGCCAGTTTATAACGAGCACGTTATAGAGGTGAAATACTCACTTCTCCGCACACGATCCCCGGTGACTCTTTTGCACAGGCGTCTTATGCTTTTCATCAGGTGTCCTTTTCGGGATGTAGGAGGTGGTGAAACGTCCTCTTTTGGTGGGCTGGACGGGTCCCTCTCGGGCTCCTCGGTGTCGTCGTCATCATCATCATCCGTGCATTCCTCAGAGCTGCGCGCGGTTACTATACGCTCAAAAATGTCCTCGTCTACCGGCAGGTTGTCTTGGACTCTCTCCGCCGACAGCGAGGTGGAGTGACGGCACAGCGGACACACTATCCGGGGTACGGTAACGGGACTCTCCGCGGATCTCGCGAGCGTCAACAGGCAGCTCTCACAAAACGAGTGTTTGCAGGTCAGGTGTCGAGGACACCTCCGACTGGCGTTGTAAGTCCGGTAGCAGATTCCGCACTCCGTTTCTGGAACCATGGTGTCCTGGTTGCTTGTGTTGCGAACTCCTCTTAGTTGATAATAAAGTGCCGGTGACTCACCTCGGAGATTCTTATATAGGCTAGTAGTAGTTTGGTGAAGGCGTGTGTGTAGGAGGGAGGCGTGTTTCGGCTCCCATTCTCTCAGATAAACTTCCTTTAGCAACAGGACTTTCCAAACAAACGAAGTGATGTCATCGGCTCTAGGCGCGGTGATGTCATTTGCCCTCCAAATGCATGACCTAACATGATCAAAAGTTAAATCAGATTGCCCTAGGTGTCTTACCATGCTTTTTTTTTTTTTACAGATGTAATTGGTGTTTACGTTTATAAATAGAAATGGGGCTAATTTAGGTTGATTGGGACACTTTTACCTAGTAGCCACGCTTATAGTGGCAAAAAGTGTTCCTGAATTCCCCCCTAAAGCTTGGGATTCCCCATTTACTGATTTTGCCAGGCATTTTAGATTTATGAAAACACCTATTCCCATCATCAAAGGGAAAACCGAAACCAGGTGTGTGTGTGTGGGTAGATCTTTGGCTACTGTAGGGTTATTTCTGGTAAATAGGCCTATTCTAGGCCTATTTACCAGAATTAACCCTACAGTAGCCAAGTTGTAAATCATTGTCAAAAGAGGGGGGTTTCATTTAGGTGTGTTTTTAGATTTAAGGTGACATTTAAACTTGTCACACACACTCAGAAATATGTACGGTTGTTAAAACTGTAGTAAAAAAAAAAAAAAAAAAAAAAAAAAATGTATAGGCCTATGTCAAATAAATGGGCTTTTTTTCTTTTTTTCCCCTACATAGTTTACCGGAATCAATGTCTTTATGAAACGCTGAGTTCCCCAATACTGTAAGTTTGGAGGAAACAACTGTTTTTATAAAAATAAACAATTGATTACAGTAAGGGAAATATAAACCAGCAGCGCTAAGAGCCTTATCCAAACAAAACCACTCTACCCCACTGTGTGATTTCCCAGAATGCACCCCCTCCCATTTTCTCCCTCCCCGTCATTCCCTTACTTGGGCTTGGGTGTGCCTCTGACTCTAAACTGGCTTCAGCCGGCCGGCACGGGACATTCTTCTTCAGAACCCACATTTCTAATCTAATGCTTTTGTGTTTAGATCGAAGTTCAGAATTTGTCAACATTTCAATAATTCCTATGTTTTGACCTTTTTCAATGTATCTGGGCTTAATAATGCATGAACTTTTATTTGAACAGCATTATGAGTTTATGGCTTTCCAGACTCATACACCCAATTTATATCACACACACACACACACATATATATGAATGTATAACGTAATGTTAAATTATTGTAGAAATACATAAAACTACATATTTTTTGTGTTTTCCAGTAAATCCTGAAAGAGGATGTTATACGTGATCAAGACAAAAAATAAAAGGTCAAAGGAAGTTGAGAAAGTCAACCGTGGGAGGTGGGCTGAGGATATGTCACTGCCAGCCAAGTTCAACGTGCTGTTAAACACTCACTATACAAGACAAGACATGTGACCGTCTGCACGTTTTTGTGTGACTCAAGGGCAAAAAACTTTTAATCATTTACTCATGTAACAACACCAAAATGCCAATCAGTTATTATTGCCCATGGGTTTTCCATGTTACAGTGCAGATATGATCTTTCTGTGAAAAGTACTATGAATTGTTGTGTCCTTTTTCAGTGTAGGCCTAATAATGCCCCAACTTTAATCTAACATCACTGATAAGTGAAATTATTGATATTTAATGGCTTTTCGGATGCATAAACCTTCCTCTCTTGATTTTGGCATTATGTTCTTTAGTGCTTAAATGAAGTGATCCAATAATGACAATGTTGTGATGTTCCAACTTGTTGTGACTGACTTGTTTTCGTGTAAAACAAAAAAAAACATATTTTGAAGAAGGTTTCGCCTGTTTCTGTCCATATATAAAAGTTAATAATTATGGTCCGAAACAACACTGGACCCAAGTGACTTCAAGTGTATTGAATTTCTTTTTTTTTAAAGATCAATCCAGAAAAGTTTATACAAGGTGTATTCACTTCATATGCACTTTGAATAGTGATAAATAGGGGTCTACTAACCTTTTCCACCAATAAATTGTCTTTTTGTTCATTTAAGCTGCACAAATCATTACAAAATGTACATTTGAATCATTTGGTAAATTATTTCGCTCTTTATTTGACAGAGCTGAATTTCATGGTTTTTCACTGCACTGTACTCTAAAAAGATGTTTTTTAAAAGGTTATTTACATACAGTAACACTTCTATTTAGAACCTTTATATGCTGAAATGGTTCTTTGTAGTTTAAGGTTCTTTATTCCCTCCTTTTTTTTCAAATCTGTAACTGTCAAAGCCTCCTCATTACTGATTTTCTGGAGCTCAGCTACAACTACAGACTGTCAACACACTCTCAACAGGTAAATTATTTATTCCCTAAAATGTCTATAAATTTTAACTTTTGTAAATTGTAACCGGTTTCCTACCAATCATGTCTCATTCTCTTTTTAGTTTAACAGAACATGTAAGTGTGAGCAGCTCTGTTCAGTTAAGGATACTCATCTTCTCTTCTCCACAAAGTAAGTAACAGAGATATTGAATCTATGATATGTCAGAATTTTTTTAATTATTACTTTGTCTAAACATGCAGTCACAAAAAAACATCATAGCTATCCCATGGCCATGACTCATCACTTTTTCCTTTTAACACAGTACAGGGCTCACATACTGTCATGTTTTGCTAATTTTGACCTTCATAAACATAATTGTTTTTACATAGGCCTAATCAAATGGAAGAGACACACTGTAACTCGAAACTCAATTGTGTATTTCAGATGCTGTCTCCATCATAACTTCATCATGCAGAGAAACTTCCACTCAGAATACACACATAATGAAGGACGTAAAGACCTCATAGAGGATTGTGAAGATATTTGACTGGAACTTGATCTTCATTACATCTATATCGTGTTCAATGTCAATTGTTATTTATTAATGTATTCAGCTAACAACTGTTGTAAGAGCATTTTTTGCCACATAAGACCAGCCAGATAGAAGAAAAAATAATATATATATAAATAATATTAATAATACTAATATACTAACGAAAATAAACTATTGTTGAAAAGGTTATTTATAACACCATTAAGGTCATAGCACTTTCAAAGCATGGTTCTTTATGGAATCTTATAAAAAGGGTTCTCTTTAGCACCAAACCATAAATTAGTACTGTTTAGAACCATCTACTGTATCGAAAGCAAAATAAAATGATGTAAAAGTAATATTTTGCATAGTGGCACATCCATGAAAGCATCCCACAGCAACAATAGCTCTTGTGCGGTTCCCTCTCCTAGTAACCAAGTCATCTCTTGATAATACATGTCGGTGAAACCAGCGATATGAAGCATTGCATCAGGGGAGGGAAAGAGTCGACAGTAAACGTAGAGAAACATACATGTGCAGCGTAAAAGCAGGTGGTGTTAAACGGTGACCAAGCTGAGTCAAGAGTTTGTTTTCTGTGACTTTAAACTGGCCCAGAATGGACCCTGTACTCGCGTTTGAAAAGGCGCGAACCGCTTCATCTTGAGAGAACACAGAGGCGCTGGACTGGTGAGTGAAACTTTCATCCTTCTTTCACACTTTGAGCTAATAGTAGAATATGAATAGATACATGAATGTATATTCACATGACCTTTCTATTGTGTTGCCAGTTTTCTCGAATAAATATCTATGAATAACTATTCATTCTTTCTGAAAACGACCAGATGTCAAGTGTTTTTGTTTAATGTTGTGTGGTATTTCAAATACAATTGTAGATTGCCACTACAAATGTGAACAAATAATCACTTATGCATATTTAGATCTGCAACCCTTACATTTTAATACATGTTAAAGTCCACGTCTGCACTTCTAAGATATTGTTGCTATAATTCTATAGAGACTTGCATTGCTAGGCAGCTTCTCCTGTGAGTGATGGTTGCTTTGACTATATTCCCCCATTGAGAGTTGGATTGAAACTGCAACACTAATAAGACAACAGACAGCTGGGTATATTAGAAGTAAACGGCTCTAAACAATTCTGTATTTGTCATTTTTCGTATATGTGCAGTTATCATAAATGTGTACACTTTTTTGAGACGTATGAAACTGTTTCCCATTCAATGTGCACGAGAAAGCTAAACCTGATGAAATCCTCATGAATATGCGTTGTAACTCCAAAACCAGAGATGACACTTTCATATTTACCATATGTTAGTGTATGTACACATTTAATAATCATAATCACGAGGTCTATGTCACACTTTGGTGATGTTTTGTTATTGTGACAAGTGATTCATTGACATTTTTCATTGAGCGGTTAATTAATTTTTCATATGGCTCTTACAAAGTATTGTAATTTTAGCAGTAAAACACTGTAAAAATGCTACAGTAAAAACCTGTTGGTTTACCAGTAAGTTCGCTTACAATAAGTAGATCAAACATGACATTTTGTGTAATTTTACAGTAAAATACAGTTTAAAAAATATAGTTTTTGGAAGTGAAAAAGAAAATGTCATCTTGAAAATTTGCATTCCCAGAATTCCCTGTATGTGTCACATTTCATGTTGGATAGATTCTCAATTAAATAATGTTTCTTCTTAGTTTTTATCAGAAATGTATGAGTTAATGTACATGTTAAATGAATGTTTATAGCATTATTTTTGTGGTAGTGTTTTGTGTTTGTGTGTATTTGCACCTTCATAATTAGGATTTATATCATCTTGTGGTAAAAACTACTGATGAGAGTTTTTTTCTCTCAAAATAATGCAAATGCTTTGCCCATCTGTGGCATCACTGCTTCTTATGCTCCCTTCACATGCTGTCAGAATTATCATAAATATGACCTGCCTAGTTAAAAGTTGGACATGAACGGCCTCTCAAGTCCTATTTACCACTGGGAATCTCAGGGATAATTTTGACACCCAAGTTCCCGAGTTGGGCGAGTCATAGACTTTAAACATGGCGGAGGGGGGAACGATTGCTGCTGTGATTGCTATTCTTTATTAGTTTTTTTCACAACAGCTAAATCGTCTTGTCTTGTAGTTAGTGCATATTTACATACACTCACCGGCCACTTTATTAGGTACACCTGTCCAACTGCTCGTTAACACTTAATTTCTAAGCAGCCAATCACATGGCGGCAACTCAGTGCATTTAGGCATGTAGACATGGTCAAGACAATCTCCTGCAGTTCAAACCGAGCATCAGTATGGGGAAGAAAGGTGATTTGAGTGACTTTGAACGTGGCATGATTGTTGGTGCCAGAAGGGCTGGTCTGAGTATTTCAGAAACTGCTAATCTACTGGGATTTTCACGCACAACCATCTCTAGGGTTTACAGAGAATGGTCCGAAAAAGAAAAAACATCCAGTGAGCGGCAGTTCTGTGGGCGGAAATGCCTTGTTGATGCCAGAGGTCAGAGGAGAATGGCCAGACTGGTTCGAGCTGATAGAAGGGCAACAGTGACTGAAATAACCACTCGTTACAACCGAGGTATGCAGCAAAGCATTTGTGAAGCCACAACACGCACAACCTTGAGGCGGATGGGCTACAACAGCAGAAGACTCCACCGGGTACCACTCATCTCCACTACAAATAGGAAAAAGAGGCTACAATTTGCAAGAGCTCACCAAAATTGAACAGTTGAAGACTGGAAAAATGTTGCCTGGTCTGATGAGTCTCGATTTCTGTTGAGACATTCAGATGTTAGAGTCAGAATTTGGCGTAAACAGAATGAGAACATGGAACCATCATGCCTTGTTACCACTGTGCAGGCTGGTGGTGGTGGTGTAATGGTGTGGGGGATGTTTTCCTGGCACACTTTAGGCCCCTTAGTGCCAATTGGGCATCGTTTAAATGCCACGGCCTAACTGAGCATTGTTTCTGACCATGTCCATCCCTTTATGGCCACCATGTACCCATCCTCTGATGGCTACTTCCACCATGTCACAAAGCTCTAATCATTTCAAATTGGTTTCTTGAACATGACAATGAGTTCACTGTACTAAAATGGCCTCCACAGTCACCAGATCTCAACCCAATAGAGCATCTTTGGGATGTGGTGGAACGGGAGATTCGCATCATGGATGTGCAGCCGACAAATCTGCGGCAACTGTGATGCCATCATGTCAATATGGACCAAACTCCCTGAGGAATGCTTCCAGCACCTTGTTGAATCTATGCCACGAAGAATTGAGGCAGTTCTGAAGGCAAAAGGGGGTCCAACCCGTTACTAGCATGGGGTACCTAATAAAGTGGCCGGTGAGTGTATATGAATAATCATTTGAAGCATATCGTGGTGAGATTAATACGATTTTCCCAATAAATAGGCTTGAATGTGTTCTCCGTGATTCCTGTTCTTTCCGGCAACAAAGCCCTTGAACGCGGCGATCTCGTAAACGCAACTTCAGAAGTGGGAAGTAGGAAATTTCTGATAACACGCGAAGACAGCATAAGATGAGAGTCTGAGATGTTTTAAAGTCCCCCTGTGGTGAAAATCAAGCTTTTAATGTTATTTATGTGTCTATGTGGAACACGCCGACTTTTTTGGACTTTAGCTTATTCACCGTATCCCCCAGAGTAAGATAAGTCCATACATACCCTTCTCATCTCCGTGCGTGCCGTAACTCTGTCTGACGCACACCAACCGCTAGCCTAGCTTAGCACAAAGACTGGAGCTAAACGGCTCCAGCTAGCATCCCAATAAGTGATAAAATAAAATAACGGCAAAATGTTCCTTTGTATAATCATAGCGTGCACAAATAACAAGGTCACATGAGACACAGCCATCTTCTAACCGTATACATACTGGGAACTATATCCTCAGAAGGAGAAGCACTGCTACTTCTGCGCAGTGATTTGCTCGCAGCACCGGAGAAGCCCCATGGTGAGGAGCAGAGAGTTCGCTCAGTGTTGCGCTAATCACTCCGCCCAAGTAGCAGTGCTTCGCCTTCTGAGAATATAGTTCCCGGTATGTATACGGTTAGAAGATGGCTGTGTCTCATGTGACCTTGTGATTTGTACACACTGTGACTATACAAATCACAACATGTAAATAGGAAAATGTTGGCGTTATTTTGTCACTTATTGGGAGCAGTATGCTAGCTGGAGCCATTTACCTCCAGTCTTTGTGCTAAGCTAGGCTAGCGGTGGGTGCGTCAGACAGAGTTACGGCACGCACGGAGATGAAAAAGGTATGGACTTATCTTACTCTGGGGGATACGGTGAATAAGCTAAAGTAGGCGTGTTCCTTTAAGGACATTCAAAATATAGCAACAAAAACGAACATTCTTTCTCACTAAACAGCTATTTAAAAATGAAAAACAACTTTTTTTTTTCTAGGTTAATTCAGACCCTGGAAGTCCCCCCAAAGCTCTGTGGCATCATCCCGGCTTCCTCCATCATGTCAGAGACTCGACCAACGCCTGCACAAACTGAGCTGCCTTCAGAGTCTCCAGAGGTGGAGTGTCCAGTCTGCTATCAGGAGTACGACCAGGTCTCTAAACTCCCGCGCATGCTGGAATGCCTTCACGTCTTCTGCACCGAGTGTCTCCGCAAAATCCAGCTCACTCCTTTGCACCCGCCTGACCCCAACAGCGCCCCCTCGATCTCCTGCCCCCTGTGCCGCCACTCCACCCCGCTACAGGGTGGCGACGCTTACTCTCTCCCCTGCAACTCACGGATTCTCGCCCAGCTCCCTCCCGTTGCCTTCCGCCTGCCTGCGTCGGTGTCGGCCCGGCTGGCCACGGTGACCCAGCGCCTGGTTCTGTCCCTGGGGGAGAGGGACACCCGCTTCATAATCCTGCCCACTGTTAGTCTGAGGGTGGAGCAGATGGGAGACCGCACAGAACGGGAAAACCCTCCTGGGGTGCTGCTTCGAGAGATGGAGGTTTTGAGGAGACACAAGAAGAGCCTGATGTGCGTTCAGGTTCTGGCTATCGTCTTCTGGATTTCGTTTGTGCTGACTTGTGTTTTTGGGGTTGTGTTTGGGCCAAGATTTTTTCACAATTAAGAAGTTAATGACATGGGTGTATATCCTCTAAATGCATTCCTTTATTTATTCTGTCCCCGCGTCTTCCAAATGAGAACTTTTAGACCATTATAAATAGATCGTTTTGATGACTGACAGGTTGAGCAGTTAAATCTACAGTTGCCCTAAAATATTTGAACATTTAAAATGTGTGAATGTCATTGGATTAAAAGACTAAATATAAGCCAATTGGCATTTTTAGATAGCATGAGCAGAGTTTAAGCTAAACATTTCAGGGTATTCAAAGTTTTTTTAAACATGATTTTGTTAAATATAAAGTATTGTGACACCTGGTTGTCAAATGGGAGAGGAACATAAATTAAACACACATATGGCAATTTATCTGTTCAAAAAAATACCTCACCTGTTGAGTAATAAAAACATCATCTCTGCATTGCTTTTACAACATTTCAAATCCCTCAGTTCTCGACCATCTCCAAACAGCCAAGCTAATGTTGATTCTTGTTTTATTACGAGCTATGTCTCGTTCTCTTTTTACCAGCAGACTCTCCTCTGTTCGGCGTTTGCTTTAAACGGGTGATTCCCAGAGGTTTGAGATTTAACTGCTCAATGTCAACCTTTCTCACTCTTTGTGAAACTAGCCTCTGTCCCTTCCACACCAGACACACGTCAAAGTAGCCGGAGAAACTTCTCTCTATTTACGAATATGACGAGACGCGCACAGGCGAGTGATGCATGTACGCAATTCCCCGCGAAAACCATCCGACAGGTCTAAAATAGGCTTACCGTAGTAAATCAGGGTGAGACAAAAACACGTTTTAGAAGAAGGATTGATTGTGTATTGATTGACTCATGATTTAAATTTAGGGAATTTTAAACAAAAACAAAAAGTTACATAGTGTACCTTTAAAAGAAATGGGACAATTGTGAGGTTAGTTCTGAGAATAGCTCTACTCAAGTGTCTTGAAGATGGTTTAATATTTTGTTTAATTCAGTTTATTTGATACATTCAAGTGTTCAAATACTTTATGGGCTCTCTATATATGAATTAATTTAGTTCATATTACAATGTGTGTATAGTCTTACAGTTATCCCTGTCCTTGACTGTTATGTGAATATTTATCTACATATTTTGTAAATAAAGAATGATATTCTCTCTTTTCTCAAATTGTATGTATGTTGTTTTTTAAGCAAACATGTAGAATATAGAAAAGAAAACCTCATTAGTTTTTTGATTGTCATTTGAATGTAAGATGTGTTGATCTGTAAGTGTCTGAATGCATTGCAGCATCATGGAGACCGTCCAGAATGGGCTTTTTCAGAAATGATAATGAGTCCCTCTTGTGGATGATACACAGGGATACATCTGTGAATGTTTTGATGGCATGGCAGTGAAAATATTTGCATATAAAATAACAAGAGATGAATACTGTTATCCTTTTTAGTCGATTTCTGCATGTATATACACAAACCTTAAAATTTTGTTTACAAAAATTGGACATTGCCGTCAAAATTGCCCAGGAAAGGACCATAACCTTGATTGCAGGGTTTGTCATGCTGAAAGTGGCATGTTGTAAAAATGAGAATTTTGATTAAAAAAAAAAGATTTGAGAATAATTTGTTAGAAAAATGAAATAGGCCTATTTACAGTAAAACTCATATTTACAATGTATTATAGTCTAGTAAATGGTTTTTCAGTATTATTTAAACAGTAGACATAAATAAAAAAGTATAGTTAAAAATATAAATCATTCTTTTATTGTTTTTGAAAGAGTTGTTGTCATTTATATTCATGCTCTGATTCAGATTTGGCTTTCGCTGCTAACTTTTAGTAGAGGTTGCCATAGAGGCAGGTCGAATTGTTGCTCAAAGTTGCTAAATGATATTGTGCTGTAATTGCGTGATGACGTCATTATATAAAATAATGACATAAAACCTCATCATTATGTAGAATAATGTCATTACTCAAATTAAATAAAGAAAATTATAATTTATAAAAGCAATATAAACTAAAAAAAAATCTTATAAATTGCCTCTTTTTAATTGTGACTTCCTAACCAAAAAAACTGCCCTCTTAAAGGCTCTGAACTGAAATGATTTGACAAAACCCTGTGCCAGGCTGTATGGGGTCATCGTGATCTTGCCAAGGTAGACATGTTCCTGGATAAACATATTTTGTGGATCCTGGAACAACATATAATAGGTTTGACCTACTGAATGAACACGCCCCATTTACTGATTCGGTTTTGAATATGAGCCAGGCTCGAGCAGCACTGATGTTTACAATAGAACGTGTTTTTAGTCATGAACAAATCGTTTTTTAACCAGTGAATAATTCAATGACTCTTTCATAACACAACAAGTTGGCGCCTACTGGCTTAAAGGGGTAGTTCACCCAAAATTTTTAATTCTGTCATTAATTACCCTCATGTCTTTCCAAAACCGTAAGACGTTTGTTCATCTTTGGAACACAAATGAAGATCTTTTTGATGAAATCTGAGTTTTCTGTCCCTCCATTGACAGCTACGCAACTACCACTTTGACGCTTCAAAAAGTTAATAAAGAAATCGTGAAACTAATTCATATGAATTGTAAATGTTTAGTCCAAATTTTATGAAGAGATTCGATTTCTTTATATGATGAATATATTTAATTAAGGCTTTTATTCAGATTTAAACATTGATCAGCTAACATAAACAAAAGCTGAGCCGAACCTGCTTGACACACGAGAACAAACCTCATTGGTTCTTGCAGAAGCTCAAAGTGATGTGTAACATGAGAATGAACCTCATTGGTTCTTGCAAAAGCTCAAAGTGATGCGTAACACGAGAATGAACCTCATTGGTTCTTTTGGAAGCTCAAATGTCATACGTAACACAAGAATGAACTTAATTTGTTGCGGAAGCTAAAACGTGCTGCGTAACACGTAAATGAACCTGATTGGTTCTCGCAAGTCAAGCTAACATGTATTAGCTTCCTAGCCTGACTGCGTCAGACTTCGTACTTCCGCTCAATTTCATTTCGCTTCTGTACTTAGTCTGAGACATCGACATGTCTCTCAGTTTTCCTCCGGCCTGAAAACAGCCGGCCAATCAACGAACAGAGGGCGGGCTGAGAGCCGTGACGTAGACGTTAAACACAGAGTTTAAGATTGTATTTTAGGTGGAAATCGAAAACGACCGCGGATATGGAGACACGGGATGCAATTCGCTCTGTTGTGGAGAATATTCCCGGCATTTGCAAACTGAAGCCCGAACAAGAAGAGTGTTTGTTAAACATTTTGAATGGAGGTGATGTTGTGGCCCTACTCCCGACAGGTTTTGGGAAAAGTTTAATTTATCAACTATTACCGATCGTCAGCAAGAAACTGGGCAGGCCAAAGGCCGGCAAGGCAATAGTTGTGATTGTTTCCCCCTTGGTTGCACTCATGGAGGATCAGGTTAAGGAGGCAGCAAAACTCGGTCAGCCATGTTCACTCCGGTATTTCGCTCGATGGTTTCGTTTTCGCATCATACATGTTTACAGTGGAAGGTCAATGCGGCTGAGCTGGCGAATAACACATGTCATAACCAAACGTTATGTGATTGGCTTATGGGTAACCAATGATTTTATACTTCAGACAAGCCCCCCCCCCCCCCAGCTTTCTGTCCCTCCGTTAATGGCTACGCAACTGACACTTTGACGCTTCAAAAAGTTCATAAAGAGATCGGAAAACTATGAATTGTACTCATGTGTTCAGGCATGTTCGCTTGACGTGCGAGAACCAACGAGTTTCATTTTCATGTTACGCAGCACGTTTGAGCTTCTGCAAGAACCAATGAGGTTTGTTCTCACGAGTCAAGCTGGTTCGATTGAGCTTGTTTATGTTCTCTGATCAATGTTTAAATGCAAATAAAAGCCTAAATTAAATCTCTTCATCACATAAAGTGATCGAGTCTCTTCATAAAATTTGGGCTAAATGCATGTGAATTAATGTTACAATCTTTTTATGAACTTCTTAAAGCGTCAAAGTGGTAGTTGCGTAACTGTTAATGGAGGGTCAGAATGAAAGCTCTCAGATTTTATCAAAAAGATCGTAATTTGTGTTCTGACGATGAACGATAGTCTTACGGGTTTGGAAGGACATGATGGGTGAGTAATTAATGACAGAATTTTAATTTTTGGGCGAACTATCCTTTTAACCTTCACAAAGGGTCAGTGAATGAATCTTTTTAGTGAACTGTTTTAAAAGATTCGAGTCAATGGAGTGAATCAAAATTCCCACCACTAGTACCACAAAACACTCGTCGTATGGACGTGCCCCAGTAAAAGCGGCGGGCGCCTCTCTTTCGTCACACGCCGGAGAGAGAACTATTCCAAATCTCCCATGTGTTTTTGTAGGGGGGAGGAATGTTGTTGAAGTTTGGCTGGTTGTAGGCTAAGTGTGTTTTAACAAACCAAAATCATGAGACTTTTGAGAGTTCGAGACACTTAAAGTTAGGCGCTGGTTTTCTTTGTTTATGCTGGATGCGCTGGTCTGGGCAGTGTTATTGGATAGTAGTATTGTGGTCTAGAGACGACTTTCCTCAACCCCCTTTTTCTCCCGAGCGCTGGCTAACATTAGCAGGATAGCCGCTGCCTCTTCCATACTTTCGTAGAACAACGGGAAAGTTGTTTGAGTCCGGAGACATGGCGGAGACTAAAATAATTTATCACATTGACGAAGAGGAGACGCCGTACTTGGTGAAGATTCCCATAGCGGCTGAAAAAATCACTCTGCTGGATTTTAAACAGGTCTTGAACAAGCCGAACTACAAATTCTTCTTCAAGTCTATGGACCAGGACTTCGGGTAAGTTGAAACACACAAAGATGTGCACGAAATGCCCGAACAAAAACAGTTTTCTTCGTGTTGTAGGAAATTAATATTTGTGTATGTTGTGTGTCAGACGTTGTTGTAACAGCTTGCTAAGGTTTGGGTGGTCTAATCGTATCAAGCCATCACACTGCAAAGCAACTGTAACTTTCCAAATGTCTCGAGAGAGTGTATCAGTGGTATAGGCTAATTAAAAAAATACTTTGTCCATATTAGTTGTGTTATATACAGATATAACATTGAATGCATATCTACATAGGTCATTATTTGATAGGTTATCTGGATTATTTACCTTGAATGCGATTATTTGAATGCAATAGTCAAATTCATGTTGATGCGAGATAGCCTAATTTCTCTAAATCTTTCAGTTTTTAGTGTAGCCTACACCACCGTGCTTTTTAAAAAAAAAAAAGAGATGAAGGATTTATTCACCAAAGGCACATTAAATAGGTCAAAAGTGACATTTACAAAAATATGTTACAAAAGGTTTCCATTTAAAAAAAGTGCTGTTAACTTTTTATTCATCAAAAAACGCTGAAAAAGATGCATCACAGTTTCCACGAAAATATTAAGCTGTTTAAACATTAATAATTATAATAAATGTTTCTTGAACAGAGAAGCACAAAATTGTAAAATTCAGAAATTGTTCTGATTACGATCATGTGAGACTGAAGACTGGGGTAATGATGCTTAAAATTCAGCTTTGCATCACAGGATTAGTTACATTTTAATATATATTCAACTGGAAAACACTTACACTTAACATTATTATGTTTTATTGGATTTTTGATTAAATAAATGCGGTGAGTAGACTTCTTGAATAACATAAAATCTTACTGACCCCAAAGTTTTGAATGGTATTGTATAATTTGTTGCCATTCTGTCTTCTACCTAAACATTAGGTAGATCATATTCATCATGTAGTGAAATCCTCATCCTTTTTCCTTCTCTTCTTTGCATACATGCCAAGTTTTTAGTGTCCCACTGCTGTCTTGCTGGCCTTTTTTTTATAAAGAGTGGAGTTCTTTGTCTCAGACCGCATATTTGGCCTGAATCGTCCTGCCATGGACAGAATACCAGCCAATAAATCTCAGCCACGTACTTGTCAGTTATGCATTATCCAGATGCTACAGGAATGTCTGCAGTAATCTTAGCAAATTAGGTTATCATCTGACTGTAAATAGTCCATCAGTTTGACAGTTTACACTTATGTTTACATAGATATGAATCAAAGACATTCACCTGAAGCACTGTAAATGTTGAGTCACTGACGCAAATGCAAATTATTGAGTTGCATTTATTTTGTCTACAATTTCCGGTTTCATGACGATGATCATATTTACAATCAATCATTTGATTGCTATAATATACTACCATTCAAAAGTTTTGACTTGGTAAAATTTTTTGGTTTTTGAAGAAATTAATACTTTTATTCAGCAAGGACACATTAAGATGATCAATCAACATTGATAATAATAAATGTTTCTTGAGTACCAAATCAGCACATCAGAATGATTTCTGAAGGATCATGT